CCAGTCTTGCAACAGGTGCAAAGGTTTCATCAAAATCAATGTCTTCTTCTTGGCTACAAGCCTTGCTTTATTCCTTACAATGTTGCCTTCTTCATCTGCTTTGTTCTTGAATACCCATTTGGTTCCAATGACATTCTGATGTTTTGGTCTAGGAACAAGTTCCCATACTTGATTCCTTTCAAACTGTGTGAGCTCTTCTTGCATTGCATTGATCCAATCTGAATCTTCTAGAGCTTCTTCTACATTCATTGGTTCCATTTGAGAACACATGATTAACTGTGACCTCTTCTGATGGTTCAGAAGTCTTGTCTTCTAGGTTGATCTTCTTCAGGGTCTCTGTTATTTCTTCAACAGAGGTGTTGTCATCAAACTTGACATGAATGGATTCTTCAACTTGTAGTGTTCTTCTGTTGAGTATTCTGTATGCTTTACTTGTGCTTGAATAGCCTAGGAACACACCTTCATCAGCTTTCTCTTGAAAAACCTTTAGATGCTCCTTTCCATTGTTGAGAATGTAGCATTTGCATCCAAATATGTGAAAATAGCTGATGTTAGGCTTCCTCCCTTTCCATAGTTCATAGGGGGTCTTCTGATAGTTCTTGTGGATCATGCTTCTGTTCTGAGTGTAGCATGCAGTGTTGATTGCTTCAGCCCAGTATCTGATTGGTAATCCTGATTCAGCAATCATGGTCCTTGCAGCTTCCTTCAATGTTCTGTTCCTTCTTTCTGCAACACCATTTTGTTAAGGTGTTCTGGCAGCAGAAAGTTGATGAAAGGTGTCATTCTTATCACAGAAGTCCTTGATCGCTTTGTTGACAAATTCAGTTCCTCTGTCAGATCTGATTGTCCTGACCTTCATATTCTTCTCAGTCTGAAGTTGCTTTAACAGAGATGGCAACTTCTGAAGAGTTTCATTCTTCTTTGCTAAGAATACTGTCCATGTGTATCTTGAATAATCATCAACCATGACGAGTGTATATCTCTTCCCACCAACACTGGGAGTTTCAACTGGTCCAAATAAATCCATGTGAATCAGATTTAAAGGACTAGTGGAAAGATCTCCAGCAATGGGCTTGAATGAGGTCTTCACTTGTTTGCCCTTCTGACAAGCACTGCAGAGGGTCTCCTTCTTGTATACTATATCTGGTAGACCATCTACAATGTGATCTCTTGCCAGTTTGTTGATTGTTTTGAAATTCAGGTGGCTAAGCTTCTTGTGCCAGTCCCAGCTCAGCTTTGAATCTCCTTTGGCTATCAGACATACTCCATCCTTCGCAGTTTGCCAGTCAACAACATAGATGTTCTTTCTTCTCTTGGCTGTAAGAACCACTTCCTTTGTTGTCTCATGTTTGACATAGCATAGGGCCTTTGTGAATTCAACTGTGTAGCCTTTGTCACAGAATTGGCTAGCACTCAGCAGGTTGAACTTCAGATCTTTGACATATGAGACATCATCAATGATTATCTGGTTCTTGATCAGCTTTCCTCTTCCTTTTGTTTGACCTTCCTTGTCATTTCCTCCAAAGGTGACTCGGGGTCCATTTATTTTCTGGAACTCTGATAGGCAACTCTTGTCACCTGTCATGTGCCTGGAGCATCCACTATCAATAAACCATTCTTGTTCAGAGATAGCTCCAGCACACAGTTCCTGCAAAATTAAAAGGAAGATTTAGGTACCCAAGCTATGTTGGGTCCTGGGGGGTAATGGAGTCTTGGTAGTTGGTACCATTTTGGTCTTATTAAGTGAAACCTTGGTGGATGGTACCCATTGTCCACCTGGTAGTCATGATAAACGTATGATTCACAGTGGGCAGATGCTTGTGAGGCTCATGCTTTTTGTTAGCATATTTTTGCATAGCCTTCTTTGTTGGAAAGAAGTCCCATATGCTATCAAGAGCAAAGAGTCATTTTGCTTTGGGCTTCTGAGGTTGACCAGACAACCTCTTTTGCCTAAAGTTAACTTTCTCTTGATATCTGCCTTTCTGATAGTGGTTTCTGATACAGTTATCATGAGAATGTCTGTTAAAGTTTTGACTTTGATTGTTATTTTTCTGAAAACCTTTTGGATTGTTAGGTTTTCTGCCAGGTTCATTACTTTTCAAAACTTGTTTTTGTTTAGCCTTTAGCTTTTGGTTATCTGGTCTGACTTTCTCATGAGTAATCTTAGTACCAGAAGTACTAGCATGACAGATGGGGCTGCAAGTCTGTGACTCTATGACCTTTTTAGCTTTAGCAACTTGGATGCTAGGCTTTACAGAAGTTTCACCAGACTTTGTTCCAACATATCCAAGGCCAGGGGTAAGATTATGAAAGTCATCAATACCCTTCATGGAAGATTGCATCTTCAGAAGGCTATTATATTTGACTTCAAGATACTCAATGTTTCTTATTCTCTTTAGAAGAGACTCATTTTCAGCTTCCAGTTTGTCTCTTTCCTCAATCAAGAGATTAAGTTTGCACTCTGTCTCTTTTCTTAAGTCAAAGATTTCAAACCTTAGCTTACTGTTCTCTTCCTTAATAGAGAAATAAGTAGCCTGGATAGTCTTGAACTCTTCCCAAAATGATGACATTGGATCATATTCAAGGCTGTGCCTACCGAAGAAGAAATAGAGTCAGCTGTAGAGTATACCTCATCATCAGATTGTGCCATGAGGCAGAGGTCTTCGGTCTCTGTATCTAGGCAGCAGAATGCCTCATCAGCGTCAGAATCAGAACTGGACTCTGATTCAGAAAGGGGGTCTTTTTCAGTCTGCTCACTGATCAATGCCTTCCTTCTTCTGGCATGATCTTCATACTTCCTTTCTCCATCTTGTCCTTGTCTTTTGGACACTCTAGTGTGTGGACAGTTGGCTTTGAAGTGGCCTGGTTGTCGGCAGTTGTAGCAGAGGAGCTCTCCACTGCTTTCAGAAGGCTTGGTCTTCTGAAAGGGTCTTCTGCTTGAAGATGGACTTCTTCCATCCTTCTTCATAAACTTCCTAAATTTCCTAGCAAAAGCAGCCATGTATTCGTCAGATAATAAAGTGGAAGGGTCAAAATCTTTTACCTTAGAAGTGCTGGCAGTGAGGGCAGCTGTGGTTCTCTCATCTGGCACTTCTTCCTTCTCTTCATGCATCTCAAACTCGTAGGCTTTGAGATCTGAGATCAGTCTCTCTGTAGGATAGGTCTTGACATTCTTTCTTTCTTGTACAGCAACTACCTTCATCTTCCACGTTGGGGGCAGTCCTCTAAGGATCTTCATGTTGACTTCTTTGATGGTGAGCTCCTTCCCAAGCTCAGAAATCTCACTTATGAGAATCAGAAGTCTTTCATGCATTTTGGCAATGCATTCATCTGGCAGAAGTTTGAAGTCATCAAACTTCTTCATGGCTATGGTTAGCTTATTATCTCTTTATTGTTCATCACCAGCACCAATCTGATCAAGCTTATCCCAGATTTCCTTTGCTGTCTTACACTTCTTTATTCTGTTGAAGTATCTTTCATCAATGGCCTTGTAGAGGATGTCCTTGGCTATGTTGTCCAGGTTGTATTGTCTTTTCTCTTCCTTGGTCCATTCTGACCTGGCCTTCTCAATCATTTGAGGCTGAGTGTTATCTGCAGAATGGGCAGGGTTGACCTTCATGAACTGAATGAAAGGTCCACTTTCCAATACTTCCCACATTTCGGCATGCAGGGCACATAGATGTGCTTTCATCCGGATCTTCCAGTCATCATACTTTTGATCTGTGAACATAAGGTGCTTTGCAAGAGAGTTATCCATAATAAGAATTTAAGAGGCTAGAACAAGTGGATCTTTGTTCAAAGGAGTAACCTAAGAGATTACAAGAACAAGGAGGCTCTGATACCACTTGTTGGTCCCGTTTAAGTATGAAACAGTCTAGAGGGGGGGGGGGGGGAATAGACTGTCTAGAGGGGGAATAGACTTCTTCCGGAATGGTTGGACCAGAAGAAGTCTGTGAAGATTCTGCTGGAACCTTGTTCCTCAAATGATGGAGCTGTGAGTCAGTCTGGGGATCATCCTGGGACCTAACGTTTGGATTAGAAGGAGAGCTTATGTTAGGAACCTGGGGTTCGATCAGAGGAGTAGCAGGGGAAGCATTAGGCTGGGCATTGTTATTGGGGGGTCCTTCCATATTAGCCGGGAGGCTATAGTGATGTTGTGCAAATGCTGCAGGGACCTGGGGATCAGCCAAGGTTTCAACAATAGAGCTAACAGGCTGAGCATTTATTATTGGAGGCTCTTCCATAATAATTTCTTCAGTATCATTATCTGTGGCATGAGACGAAGATGGGTCTGTAATAGTTGTTGTTTGAATTATTTCCTTGCCTTTATCTTGTACTGTAAGTATCCTCCTTGAATGAGTAACTTTAGAGGTGTCCTTGGTTACCCATTTTTCCTTGGTTAGTACCAAATCAGTGTTCTGGACCGGGGTTCGCTTAGGGCATGCATTATCCGCATGTCCTAGGTGTAGACAGTGAGAGTAATAGGAGGGCCTATTCTCATAAATCACAGTTTGGGCAAAGCCAAAATTACAACTATTAATCCATATCTTTTGGGGCATCTCTTTGGTCAAATCAACTTCTACACAGATTCTAGCAACCGAAGGCTTAGCCAAATTGGCAGTGGCCGAGTCTAGTTTCAAGGGCTTGCCCAACAAACCAGCAATATCAAAAAGCGCACGCTTGTCATGCAAATGAACCGGTAAACCTTCAAACGCAACCCACACCGGTACCGTAGGAGACTCCACATTAGGTCTAAAAGTAGAAGACCATTTGGTAACACGCATAGTTTTTCCTAGAATAGACCAGGACTGTCTATTCCAGCAACGAAAGTAATCGTCTTCATTAGAAAAACGAATCAACACATGTTTCCTTTCTAAAACTCCAAGGTGGAACGCCCCTTTAAAACCAATTCTCTCCAAAGTTTTACGTAAGGAATCCAAACTAGATCTTCCTTGATAAAAATAGCCCACCAAGGAAAATCTATGACGCTCAGAAAGTATGTGAACGTCACTATCAGGAAAACTTACCGTAGGCAGCCCCTTAAAACGAGAATAGGTCTTGACAGAAAGGGATGTCGAGGATTTGCCAGAGACAACATCAGCAAAGGATTTACCAGCCCAAGCTGATGCGGTTGTTGAAGGTACAGAAGGCTGTGGCGTGATTGTAGGCGGCTGCGCCGCCGTTAGCGAGGAGGGCGATGCCATCGCAATTCATCTCCCTCTTAGCCAGCAGCAACGCTCCCTCAATACCTTCTTCGGCACTTTCTCATTTGCACACCAAGTTGTCAAGTAACAAAAACTCCGTCTCTTTAATCTTCTTCCTTAAATATTAATTCCTCCTTTAATCTATCTATATATTAATGTTAGGGAGTGTTACTAAGATGACAATTAGTTAACATCTTGACATTAGTTATAGTAGTATTCATTTTCTTCTTCTATATATTAATGTTAGGGGGTGTTGCTAAGTTGACAATTAGTTAGCGTCTTGACATTAGTTATAGTAGGATTTATCATCTTTAATATTCTTCCTTGAATATTAATTAATTCTCATTCATATTTTATACTCCCTCCGTCCCAATTTGTAAGATACATTTCGGTTTACGATGTTTGACTGACGATAAAGCAAATTGATCCCTGTCAACACCCAAATTATTTCTAGAAAATAAAATTTGCATATTCAAAAACTACATTAAATCCGCTACAAAACCTGCAAAAAATAATTCAAACTTCATAAACTTTTGATATATAAAATAAAAGTTTAGGAGTGATTTATGTTGACCAAGTGAATAGTAAATGTATCTTACAATTTGGGACTGAGGGAGTATTAATATTTTGAACAATACTTAAGGGATCAACTAGTTTTGTTTCATATATTAATTATCACTAGAATCGATCGATGAGTACGCTTGTTAATCGTTCGATCTTTTCATGGTAGTAAACTTGGATTATTAATGCATGCGTCTCATGGTTAATAATCTAAGGGGAATTAATTATATTGATTAAACCGATAAACCGCTTGTGTTGAAGTTATCAATTTCAATCGTTTTCATCTTAAGTTTATTGCTACTATCGGATTAATATACGGCGCGTGTTCTATATTGACTCGGTAGTAAGTTTTATTAATGAACGCGTCTCGTTATTAATAACAACTCTCGATGAATTGGATATACTCCTCTATACTATTTTCATTAATATTAGTATTCGATTCTTATTTCCCCATCCCCGCACCCGCCGCACCCCAACACCTGCCCCACTTCTCCTCCATGAGGTGGGCCCCAATAGGGGCCCACCCCCACTCCCACCCTTAAGCATAATTGGGGGGTATGTTTCTTCAAGATGTTTTTACTTGAACTATATTCAATCCGCCAAACTTAAACAGACCAGAGACCAAACTTCTGTAGTTATAAAATACACAGAAACTAGACATTTACTGAGACAGACCAGACAATTTCAAATCAAACCAGACCAGACTTAAACAGATCAGATCAGACAAGACCAACAAATTTCAGTCCAAATAAAAACAGAAACTTCTTGTGATTAACATTATGGTATTAGGTACTACGTCAATGCTTCAAGAAATGCTGTGACGTATACTACTTCTTGTTACTCCATCCAATTTAATAAATGCTTCAAGAAATAAATAAATAAATAATTGCTTCAAGAAACATTTACGGGGAGAGTAATCACGAGTATGACGTATACTACTTTTGGTTTACAAACAGCTAATGAAAAAATTAGAAGAGAGAACGGAAAATAGTTGTGGGGTTCATGCTTCTCGGAGCCACTAGTTCAATTTCGAGTTCCATGACAGGGAGTTATATCAACAACCTCGTTTTTGGCTAATCAAAGTTTGTATAGGTCTCAACCGTAAACCAGAGAGCCCTAGATGCCAAGGTTTTTGTTAACGACACAGTCAGCAAAGGTTTCATGTTAAAGAATGCCAAGAACAACCATGAAAGGCATGTACTTTCACGTGATCAAATGACAACCTGGAGCTACTTTTTTAGAGAATGCGTCTGAAACTAGACAACCACCATTGATGTTCTCAAATATCATTTTCCCATGACATCTCAGGTCTTAAAATTCTTCAAAGTAAAAGTTACCCCTTTGACATGTTGACCGAGACAATATTTTACAAAAAGTGTTCAAGAAGTAACGAATAATGCAAATGTGCTACCTTCCAACAGCTTCAATGCTATTATATCTTCTTAGTTTCTTATTATGCAGATGTCCAGCAAGAGCTGGCACTAAAAACTCTACCTTTCCACCCCTGCAGTATCCAATGACGGTCATCTAAAAACAGAAACTTCTTGTGAAATCCGGCCTTTGTCTTGTCTCTAAGCTCATTTGCAAGCTCGGGTCTTATGGGAATAGGCTTTAGCCCAGCTCTCAAATTACGCAAATGCCACTGCTTGTATATTTCAGGCCTATGCAATCTTTCCATGCCTTCACATGCTAAGATACTCATTATTTCACATGCCCTAGCTTTTTCAAAACTCAACCTGTGAGGATCATCGCGGGGTAATGTAGCATCACACATATCAAAGACTGCAGTGTATAAGAAGAGAGCTTCTCGGAACCGAGATATAAAGAAAGGAGAGCTGTGGGCTCCACTCAGCAATGATTGCACATAAATTTGAGGATTTATTTCACGGATTAATTTTAGAACTGCATCCTTAGGGAGACCTGGAGTATCTGCAAAACCCACTGTCTCATCAAGTAGGTTTTCGAATCGATACAAACAGTTAATAGCAACAATCTCACTAGTCCCAAGCTTTAAATCCTCAAGTTTAACTGTCTCCCAATTTTTAGTTGTTATGGCATTGTACTCAAATGGTACACCAAAACGTTCACAATATTTTGTCAAAAGACAACCGGTCTTTTTTACCATTTCTTCCGGACGAAAACCAGGTTGGGGAAGCTCAATTGCGGTTATTCGAAGTTTAGGAGGTCCACCAGGTCTATGTGATAGATTCTGGATAAGAATGGGCCACTGGAAACCATAAAGAATACCAAAATCTATGATGTGAAGTGATTTACTTTCCAATGCAACTTCATAAATCATTGTATTTGCAAAGAAAAATGATGTTCTCATGAACGGCCAACATGTAAGGTAGGTGCGATAGGCGGTTATCATTCTAGAAGCTGAGGTCGTATTTGAAGATAGTGCCGCATATAGTTGCGCCCCAGTTCCAGCCAACCGTGCCTCAAAAGCATTTGCAAATGCATGGCCCAGCCTTTGATTTGCATCACCGGTTGGCGAAGAGTGCATCCTAATCTTCGCTAGCTTTTCTTCCACAATCCTATATTCAGCATCTGCAATAGATTGTGCACAGCTGGTTAAAAGAGACTCTAGATCCACATTTTTACCAGTCTTTCCTTGTTTCTTTGCATATCCCTTCCAACGACCTTGTCCTTTCTGTTGGGTGCCGTTTCCAATTACAGATGGAGGATCCTCGTTATTTCTAAACAGCAAAACTTTATCAAACAACTCTATTAACTCAACCTCCTCCTCCTCCTCCTCTTCGTAAACTGCAGACTGCTTAGTGCGCCTTTCTTCCTGTAACCCAACGTCACCTGAATGTTGATGCTTCTTTCCTCTAGAAGAATCAGCCGCACCCTTATCTGTACTGAGAAGCAACTGATATTCGGAAGGAAGGAATGTACTTGCTTCCTCCATACCTCTTTTAAACTGCAAGATGGACTCAGTATCACTACATACATTTGGACCTAACTTAACAGTGTTCAAAGAGTCCATTTGGGTATTCATAATACTATTCAAGCTATATGAAGAACCTTTTGACCTCTCCACATATGATTTAGATAGTCCGGTGTTACAACTACTAGAGCTCGTAAATGTGCTGTCCTGGCTTCCAGATTTATTATTGTTCACAAAAAGAGGTTCTTGATTAGGTGATGAAGATTTTTTATGAAGGGCGTCATAAAATAAATTTTCGACAGCTCTAAGGGAAATCGGGTCATAATACAAGCTGGAATTATTATTCTCATCGATATCACTATCCTGCAGTAGCATCTGGCTAATGTACTTGAGTGTGGGATCAGAGTAGTGATCATCTCGGGAGTCCAAAGTAGGAGCATGTGTGAGCAACGAGGCATCTTTACGGCTGTCTGAAATGTCTTGTGATTCTTTTAAGGTAGAAAGAATGATCTCGTTCTCCAACTTGGACTCATTTGCAGAGGACTCAGACAACCTGCTGAACCACTGATCCATAACCATCAATGTGAAGAAACCTATATCCACATAAGGAAAGATGGGTAACCAAACAAAAGGCAGCAACAATAGTTAACTAAATAAAGAGGGAGAATTATCAATGACCGCTCTTTATGTTGGATAGCAACATATATAATGATTAAAACGGATTTTCCAATTATTAATATAATAACATAACATCCATGAATGGTAATTGTACTGCATTTGTGGCGGTTTTAGTCGTTTCCTGTCTGCATTAACCAGTACAACAACAACATCCAAGCCTTAAATGTCTGCATTTAACTGCGAGAGCTAAAATTGATGTCGTTGGGAAAATGCCACAAAAAGTAAAAGGACTGAAATTTTGAAATAGATATATAGTCATACTATAGTTACTAATTGCTATGGAAGCTGAGGGTGCACATAGAGAAAATATATGGAGCAATGTTAATGTGCTTACTATAAAGTAAGTTGGCTTGATAAATAGTCAAGATTCATTTATCACGACCATTTAGAGAATCATGACCATTTATCACGCTAGCGTGCTCTTTAGTGAGCATGCTGTGTGCTTCATATATTAAGTAGTGTAGATAGGGATGACTATAAATAGCCTATCAATCTATCATCCACTTTTAGCTTTATTAACTTAGCAATACAATTGTGTCAAAAAGCTATTTTTAAGCGATGTTTGAAATGAACATGACAGTTCAAAATGAGCTGCAATTTAATAAGTGTAGAAAGTCAATTGATATGTAGCCTTGTTTGGATGAAGAGATGAACTTGACTAGATCCAAAATTAATCAGCTTATTGAAACATTAATAATTGTAGCCTTTCAGTTCGTCTCTTTAATTTACCGGCTTATGGCAACGTTACCTTCCTGCTATTTAGATTTTATTACTCCGTAATTTGTTTATATTAAAACATTTTGGTGTAAGGTAATTTTACATTTTTCAATCAAAATTTCAGCTACGTAGTCAAACAAGTCTACTTCATTCAGCTAACATTTCAATATCAACAACTACTGCCCAGCTCTGGAAAATAATCTCTAAATCAGATAAACTTCAACTTCAACTCGTTTTTCCAAACATAGCCTTAGTATTTGGTAAATGACTTTTTTATTTTATTGTTTGAAGCCAAAAAGCCTAAAATGAAAACGTCATTTTGAGTAGCTTTTTCACTAATAGCTTTTTATTTTGTATTCTAAAGCCTAATATACCCTCCAAATAAAATAAAATAATAATGACAATGTAATAACAATGATAAGAAATATCATCATGAATATTTTTGCTATTTTAAAATATTATTTTAAAAATGAGTTCAAGTAACCGAATTTAAAATATTAATTGTAAAAATAAACGTGTAAATATGTGTGTGCATGCATGAGTGTATATATACAACAACATCATCATCTAAACCTTAGTTTCTAAAGATTTTGGGGTTGGCTAAATACAAGATATCAGAGTCAAAAAGAAAATAAAGATAAGAAAGATAAAAAAATAAGGTTAGATAAAAAGAATAAGATTAACATAAAGATAAATTTAGAATAAAGATAAAAATTCAACAACATCAAAGCCTTAATGCCAAAAGATTTTGGGGTCGGCTAACATGAATCGAACCATGATATATATGACTCCTCTTTGGGTAAAAGAATATCCACCACAAGAATATTCGCCCTCCACTTTGCACTATCTAAAGTCATACTCTCATCCAACCCAAATATAAGCATATCACTCCTCATTCCTCTAATCTATGTCTATTTGGATCTTCCTTTCCCTCTCGGCCTCTCGTCCCCGCCTATTCTCCCCACCTCTTGATTTGCCAAATAAGTGTATCACTCTGTCTATAGGTATTACTCCCACTTTCTATCTGATTATCTTATTTTTCAAACAGTCTTTTTTAGTATGCCCATATAAGTTTATCTCTTCGTCTCACTCGAATTTGCCAACTTTTTTTTGTTTGTCCCAAAACTTTGCCACTTCTTTATAAAGGTAGTGAATTTGTGGTTCTCTATATTTTTCTCTCCTTTGCACAAATCTCAATCATACAGTTTTGACTTTTCTTATTTTATATTCAAAACAAAGTAGGCAATGTCCAACATGACGGGGAGTATATATCAAAAAGCGGAAAACTGTCAATTAGGTCCTCGTACTATCACAAAAACGTCAATTAAATTCTCATGCTTTAAAAAAGTCAATCAAATCCCTGAACTTTAAAAAATGTTCAATTGAGTCAATTAGCAGGTTGCCTACCATGTCAACAGATCACCCGCTTATATTTGAAATTGGCCTCGGGTGGAATTTTTTTATGGAATTTCATGAGCATGTTCTTCATAAAATATGGATAGAGTCCACAAAACTTTGCCTTATAATTCAATCGGAAAGTCAATTAATTATTTTAAAAACACTGCATTTTTATGTTTATTTTGGCGCATTGTTTTTTAATAATTTATTTAACTGACATCACGGTTGAGTTTTAAGGTGAAAATTGGTGAACATAATATACATTTCATGAAGAACATGCTCACAAAATTTCATCAAAAAATTCTACCCTGAAGAGCCTCAAATGGAGGCGGCCAGATGGCGATGTTTTTAATTGGATTAAAATTTTCTGGTCTTGTGTGGTCTGAACTGATGTCTAGTCCATGTGCATTTTACAATTATAGAATGGTGTCTTGTCTGGTTTGTTTACCTCTAGTCTGGTCTGGGACTGAAATTAGTGTAAGTAAAAACATTTTAACAGTTAATTAATAATTATGTTACAAACATTTTTACTTGAACCCGCTAATTAGATTTATAAGTTAATTAAGGATAGACAAAGGCCAAAAGGGAGAAACTCAAGACTAAGGATGTTTCCTTTTGGACTGAAATTTGCTGGTCTGGTCTAGTCTGGTCTCTGTATTTTATAACTACAGAAGTCAAGTCTGGTCTAAGCTGATCTGGTCTGGTGTGGTGTGATCTGGGACTGATAACAGTCCAAACGAAAACATCCTAAACAAGTAAACAGCCAAAGTAACAATTCATTATAAAATAATAATCATAGCACCAACACTTGAAATGCTCACCAGGTAAAGGTGTTCATTTTGATTATTTTTTATTAAAACTTTCCGTTTTTCGTTTAAATATAAAATGACATGCTAATGCCTTGGATCGTCACCAGCAGTAAATGAGTTCAACCACACATGGATTATAAACAGACAGAAATGGAATCAGCTTCCAATAAAAATTCTTTACTTTACACAATAAATAGGAAAAGAAGAAAATGGAATGGACATCAAGTCCTGGAAATCTGAGCACGTACGTACCTTAGACTGAGAAGTGGGAGACAAGCGCGAGTTGTATGATAGCAGCAAAACAACTTAAGCCTACAGAGGATTCAGAAACAGGAAGAGAGAAAAAAGAACATCAAGTATGAATTTTCATGAAATAGCTCATGACTTAAGAAACGTGATTGCCAATTAAAATCGTGAAAGCAAGCATCAACAGGCGACTGGGGAGTTGAAATTTATTTTCTTTGGGGTGGAAAGTAACAGGCGACTGGGTAATTTGTTTGTTTTTTTTACTCCGTTTAGAACGAAGACTATTTTAAGAAGACTATTTGTTAAAGGGTGACAACTCCGGTACCCTTCTAAAAAAGTGGGGTACTGTACCTACAATTCATTTGATTGGACTACACTACTTTATTTATCATTTTTAATTTAGATTTAAATTATTTAACTGCTAAATTCTTATTGGTCCATGTAGACAAAGGTATGGTAGCTTATGAGTACCATAGAATCTATCTTGTTAAAGACTATCCTTATTCATACATGTAAAAAATGGGTCACATCAACTAGTTCATGTGGCCCACGTTATTCCGAGTACTATTTCTAATCTATTGGGAGTTGTTTATTTTAAATTTTTGCCTCAACGTTGGACTTTGAGAGCATCTCCAATCAAGGGTGCATTGGAGGTGATGGGGCATCCAAATGCAAAGGGTCCATTGAGGATGGAAGGGAAAACAAACAAATTTTTAAGTTGGTGAGGTGAGACCCAAGGTCTACCAATGGACCTTGTGCAAGACCTTGATCTTCTCTCCTTTGCCAACTAAGCTTGACCTTCTCTATTTTTTGTCAAAATTGCTATAGGTACTCCACTTTTACCCCATTTTTTATCCCATATAAAAACTCTCCCTCATTTTTCTTCTCTCCTCCCACCCTCCCCCACTTTTCTTCTCCCTTCCTACCATCTCCCCTTCTTTTCACGCAGCCCCTCCATCCCCTCCCCTTTCTTTCTCTTTTCTCCAAATCCTTATTTCTTCCTCATTTCAAGATCTCTTCCTTCATTAATACTTCTCATTTTTTCCATATGTCCCCCCTCCAAGCTTCTTCACCTGCTTCTCTCCTCTTCCGCCTTTTTTTTTCGTTTCTAATGCACGAGCTACAGTAATCAGACGAACGGGGAGAGCTCCGGTGATGTTGGATACATGGGGAGACAACAATGAAGGTGCAGACCAAGAAGCTTTGAATGACTTGAGCAGATCTCCTCTTGATTGTCTGTCTGACAGAGAACTTGTAAGTGCAGTGTCTGTCTGTCTGTAATTGATGATTAATTGTTTTTCATTTGATTTGAGTTGTCTGTATTTGTTTTGAGTTGTCTGTATGTAATTTATGATGTTTATTTTTTGAGATGTAATTAGTATAACGAGACAGACATTAAATATACACATACAGACAATAAGTATACACATACAGACATTACTTTATTGTGAATTACCATTTTAACATATGTTTCATAAAAAAGACAGACAATACATATAACTAGACAGACAATAGAGATAACCAGACAAACATTATTTTTCACCACAAATTACATACAACTTACAATAAAATGACAAACAACTAAATATGAGTTACAGACAACTTCACGACTCTTACAGACACCTCACAACAACATAACAGACAAGTCATTACAGACAACTAATAAACAAATGACAAACAATTAAATATCAATAACAAACATTTATTTTTCAAAGGACAGACAACTTCACGACTCTTACAGACATTGTACTTACAAGTTGTCTGGACAACTCATTTTATTTCCAAATTACATAAAAAATCAAGAATACAAAATCAAGAAAAGAATATTTGTTGCTCAAGTTATTCAAAGATTCTTGGTATGCCTTCGTCGTTGTCTTCCCTTGAGGTTGTATCCAAAATGGCAACCGGCATATGCCCGCCGTCGGCAACTGGCGTAGGGCCGCCGTCGACAATGTCACCGGTGGACGAGGAGATAAGCAGGAGAAGATCGGAGGTTGAAGGGGGGAAGATGATAAAAAAGGGAAGTTTTAAAGAAGGGGAAAGATATTGAAATGGAGAAGAAAGGGAAAGGGAGGGGGGTGCGTGAAAAAGAGGAGAGGGAGGGAGGAAGAGATGTGGGGGTGCAGGAGAGTGGGAAGAGGGAAGAAGAAAAGTGGGGGTGAGTTTTTATATGGGGTACAAATGGGGTAGAGTTTGGGGTACCTATAGTAAAATTGATTTTTTGTTGCATTGGAGAGCACAATTATTAAAGTGGAGTGCATTTGGTGAGGTAGAGATACAATCCACCCTAGGGTTGGAGATGCTCTGAGTTCGTATATGGTACCACCGGTTGTACGGTGAGCACCGTACAGCCGGCCCAATAACAGGCCTATGGGAAAAATAGCAAAATAATTCGGTGGAATTTTTGTAATTAATGTGTAAATCGCGGTTTATGTTAAGTGAGCATTAGTGTACTTTTAATGAGCAATAGTCCAATTTCAATGAGTATTAAGAGTCTAATAATGAGCACCGTGTTATTATAAGAAAGCTGATATCACAAACTAAAAACAGTCGCATTTTCGTAATTTTAGTAAAAATCGTGGTTTTCGTTAGATGAACATTAATATACTTTTAATGAGTGTCAGACACATTCTACTGAGTATTAAGAGTCGAATAATGAGTATTGTGATATCAACTTCATATATTGTAATTCACTTTCTTTTTCTTATTTTTTTCATTTATAAAAACTCATTAAATTATATCTATAATCAATTTCTACGAATTTCAATATGTGAATCTAATGTAATATGGTATTTTTGAAATATGCATTGTTATGATATTTTAAAAATGAGCATTGCATGAGTAGCAGTTGAGCACACATAATTTACAAAATGAGTATTTATTAGAAACTCATAAATATTTTTAGTTGAGTATCAAGACATTTTCATTGAGCATCAAACCTTCTCTATTGAATATTAGAAACATGCAATTGGGTATCATTCATTGTATGTGCTCTCTATCTATAATCAACTCTTACGTGAATCTAATGTAATATATGGTACTTTTCAAATATGCATTGATATAATATTTTAAATTGAGCATAATACCAGTACAAAATGAGCATACATTACTTACCAAATGAGCAATGATATGAAAATCATAAGCTTTGTTAGTTGAGCATCATCAAGACATTTTCATTGAAAATCAAACTTGCTCGATTGAGTATCAAAAGCATGCAATTGAATATCATGACATTTCTTCCCAATATATAATTTAACTCTTATGCGAATCTAATATGATACTTTTGAAATATGCATTCATACAACATTTTAAAATGAGAATAAAACTAATACTAGATGAGCATACAGTATTTACAAAAATGAACATCGAAAAATTCAAAATCTCATTTGAATTCTTTAATGTGTTCAAATATTCAATTGTGTGTGCTCATTTTTTCATCTTTATACTCATTCAAATATAGCACAAACTGTTTTCTATAATATATTTATCCAGTAAATTCATTATTATCAATTGTGGATGCACATTTATTTTAAATTATACTAAGCTAGTATAACACAAAACACATGTTAATAATTAACGTACAATATTTAATAAACTAATAAATATTCATCTTAAAACTAGAAATATAGAAAACAAACATTAATTAAAAAGCAAAAACATATGACCCGAATCTTTTTTTATAATGCACAAATTAAAAAACTTAATTTTGAAGGTGAGTGGAAGAACAAAAAAAAGACAAACTCAAACATTAAATAATATTTTATATAATACATTATCATAGTTGAATAAAAAATAAAGTAACAGATTGTTAAAGAAAAAATAAAGAAAAGAAAAGCAAGAAGTAAAATAAAGAAAAAGAAAGAAGAGAAGCAACAACACAAAGCAACGAAAAACAAAAGAAAGATACCGGTGGGCGTAGCTCAACTGGTAGCGAGGGAGTGCCACAAGGGTTAGGTCCCGGGTTCGAATCCCGGCAATTGCGATGAGAGGTTACTATGCTAAAAATGCATAGAGCCTCTGCAAGTACCGGGGATGGAGCCCCACTCTCTATTTGTCAGATTGTGATTATAGTCTAATTTACATCCTCCCATCGTGTTGTCCGGTCGGTGTTGGGGGGCCCTCAGAGATGGGGTGTCATCCTTTTTTTTTTTGAAAAACAAAAGAAAGAAGAAGATAAAAGAAAAAAAAGTAAGCAACGAGAAAGCACAGGAGGAGGGCTGACGGCGGAAAAGAAAGAAAGACAACAAAAAAACACTAAGCTAACTAATGTCTTGAGAGTTGGACTAAATTACAAAAAAAAACGGTTGTACCATGCCCTAGGTATAGTCGATTGTACAATAGTATTTACCTTGGACTTTGGAATTGGATTTTACTAGTCCGGTTAGATTCTCTAAATTTTTTTGAACCGGAATCGTCAATTCCACCGTCCACGAATACTTTAATAAATAATAAACTCCCTCCGTCCCTAAATTAATTTCTCACTTTCCTTTTTGGACAATTACGAAATTAACTACTCACTTCTTCCCACTTCCTTATTTGGCAAATTCTCTACATCCAAACAGTGCCAAACAGTGTCAAACAATGTCCAAACAGTGTCAAAATAGAAAAATTTACCTCCCGGTAAGTTTATTTCCTTAATATGTGTGAAGTTTAACTTTCATTGCGATTTTATACATATTTTGGTTCAATATTTTCAGTAATTTATTTAACTCACTTCACGGTTGAGTTTTAAGCTGAATTTTTGTGGACATAATCTACACTTGATTAAAAAACATTCTCTTCAAATTTCATTAAAAAATTCCACTCGAAAGCATAATAACCTGATATGATTATTTGATTAGTTTATTAATTGATTCCATTCATAGTTGATTGCTTGATTTCTTAATTACTACTCCGTAATTGTTTTCTATTGAGTATTGGTGTTATAACTTGTTGATTTTGTTAGATAAACGTTTTCAATTATGAAAAATTTATAAATTTAATTAATTTCAAGGTGTAATAAAAAGGATTGAGTTTGAATAGGATAAATAAAAAAAAGGAGAAGATTAGAGAAAACGGTAAATAAAAAAAGTTTAATGGAAAAGTTTGTTTGTGTAAAGAAGTCAAATTCTGAATGTCCTCTTCAAGATGAGAGCGCATAGAACAACAATAATTTAGCTACTGAAAATATAATAATTGATGGAGTAATGGGACTAGGCCCAGAGCCTAATCGGCCCAAGCCCCGAACTTGGACCCGTGG